GGTGTAGGCATTGAAGAAAGAGACTAGGGGAAGATAAGCAGAATTGCCTGGAAACTGAAAACATGAAAGCAGAATTCAGAATTAGAAAGACTGACATACAATTAGACAAACAGTAAAGCAAAGGACAACCTTGAGGAATGTTCCCAAGATTCAGAGGGGAAGAATAAAGAGATGCCTGATTTCTAAAGTCAGAATAAATATAACAGAAACTGTAATTGCAAATAAAGAAGGAAACTTACCCTTTTTATAAAAAGATACATCTTGGGGTTGAGAGTGTTTGCAGGCATGTGACTTAGGTTTCACTGCTCAGCACATTTCCTTTGAAATTCAAGTATGAGTTAGGCTGTGCTGCACAGAATCCATTTTGCCAGCAAACGTGGAAGAGCACTGCAAAACTTGGGGCTTTCACCCTACACCCTAGCTGTGGAAGTAGCCTGTGCTGTTTCCCTAGTGCCCCACAGTTGTGGATCATCACACCTCTGAACTGTCCATTATGATTTGATCATAATTCCTAGCTACATAACTTCCAAGCCCGAGTCTGATTCTTAACAGATTTTGTGAGCTGTGTAATAACTTTTAATAAATTCCTTTTCTGCTTAAACCGGCTAGAAGACAAAATGCCTCTTCTGGAGTATTAGTGGAGAAATTGATAATATACTTGACTATAAAAAAAATCTTCGAGTTCAAAAAAACAAAAATGTATTTGTCAGTTTTTGAAGCCCTGCTGTATATGTAGAAATCACTAAGTTTATTATGCCCAAAGAAAGATTTGTATTAAAGTGTTTATAGCAACCTTACTCACAATATCCAAAAACTGGAAACCACTCAAATGTTCACCAAGCAGGATCATGGATAAGCAAACTGCTGTATATTCATACAGTAAATTAGTACTCAGTAGTTAAAAAAAGAACAGATTACTAAGACTTGCAAGAATGGTGATGAATCTCAAAACATTGTTTGAGCAGAAGTTAGATACAAAGATCTACTCTGTGATTCCACTTACATGAAGTTCAAGAACATGCAAAAGTAGTCTATGGTGAAGGAAATTAGGTAGCAGGGCATGAGAGTTGGCTGGAAAAGGGTAAAGGGAATTCTGGGTGATAGAAATGGTCTGTATTTTCTTTGTTGGTAGTTACAGGGTAGATACAATTGTCAAAACTCATTGAATACTTAAAATCTGAGCATTTTGTTCTATGTAAATTTTATTTTAATTCCATAAAAGATGTGATTTAACAAAACAAAAAAGGTCAGTCACTTGGGAAATCAGATATACTCTTTGGGGCCTAAAGAGGGAAAAACAAAATAGGCATTCAATTCAAGGGTTTAAAAGACTAGCACTAAAGAACATGGAGGAAAAAATGGATTTATAAGAAGAAAAAAGAAAAATAAAACCATTACAGAAGATATTTTTAATTGAGACCACTATTAAATAGATTCAAAAATTTTGATAAAATGAACTTTTCTGAAATTGAGGAAAAAAATTTTTAAAAGTATGAAAGAAATACCTCCTGGACACTAGGGTGGCTCAGTCAGTTGAGCCTCCAACTCTTTCTTGATTTCGGCTTAGGTGATGATCGCAGGGTCGTGCATCAGGCTCCATGCTGAGTTTGGAGCCTGCTTAAGATTCTCTCTCCTTCTGCCCTTATCCCCTGCTTGCTCTTTCTCTCTCTAAAAAAAAAAAAAAAAAAAAAAAAAAAAAAAAAAAAAAAAGAAAGAAAGAGAGAGGAAGGAAGGGAGACTCCTAAAAAATGTTTTTAGGAGTATCTGGTTGGCTCAGTTAGAAGAGCATACAACTCGATCTCAGGGCCGTGAGTTTGAGGCCCCATATTATGTTGTAGAGATTACTGAAAAAATAAAAACACGTTTTTAGACCCAGGTAATTTTTCAGATGAATTATTCCAAATGTTTAAGGAATTAAAAACTGTCATGATGAATTAAAAACTGTTTTGGGGGGTGCCTGGGTGGCTCAGTCGGTTAAGCGTCCAACTTCAGCTCAGGTTGTGATCTCACGGTCCGTGAGTTCGAGCCCCGCGTCGGGCTCTGTGCTGACAGCTCAGAACCTGGAGCCTGCTTCTGATTCTGTGTCTCCCTCTCTCTCTGACCCTCCCCCATTCATGCTCTGTCTCTCTCTGTCTCAAAAATAAATAAATGTTAAAAAAAAAATTAAAA